CCAATGGCACACCCAACAGCACCCAACAGCATCCAACAGTGCACCCAACCATACACTCAACAGAATACACTCAATGGCACACAAAATAACACACCCAACGGCACACCCAACAGAACCAATTGCACACCCAATGGTACATCTAACAGCACCCAACAGCATACCCAATTGTACACCCAACAGTGGTAAAGGGTAGAAATTTCCTTTAAAAAAAAAAAAAAAGAAACAACAATGGACATGTTTTCAAAGAACCCATCATTGAAGAGCACTAAGTAGAGCTGGCTAATTAAGTGTAGGGACGCACAATCACAAGGTAACACAGAAGACTGAAAAAGACAAAATCCCAGCACATCCATTTCCTGCTTCCCAGGGCCAAAACTTCCCGCCCTCCCCATCATCCAAGCATCAATCTCCCACACCCTGCTTAGCTGCACATGTCTCCCAAGGCCACTGCTCTCAGCAAGAGCAGGCTGGCCATAACCAAAGTCCCCTGCTACCTTGGCATCGCAAAGGCTGAAATCAAAGACAAATATATGTTTATTTCTCCCAAATGGAAGCCATTTATTTCCTGTTGCCTCAAGGAAGGGAGAAGAATAAAGAATTAAAATTGCAAGCATTCAGGCCTGGTTAATGCAACACGACAAGGAAACCCCAACCAAAAGCTGCCAGGCTCCCCACTAACTCATTTCCATGTCTTGCCTGCTAAGAAACAGCCAGCAGGCAGCTTCACAGATCCTTGGTTAATGAAGAGCTTGGCTCGGCTAGATTGCTCTGGGTACTGCAAGCTTTGCATTTTTTGGGAGCTAGGACTGGGGAGCATGATGCAGGGAAGCCGTTCTTGCAGCAGAACATGGGGCTGCGCCGCATGCTGGTGGAGGCGGCTGTGGCCACGCCAGTGCCTTCAGGATTTCCCAGCCTCTGGTATTCCACAAGCTACCCAGCAGCCCGGACACCCGACAGGCAGAGCAGCACCCGATGCTGGCTCGCACGAGGGGCTTCCAAAGGTGGCGGAAAACACGACACGTGGACGGCAGACTTGTCTTGCATTCCCCCAAATCCCTCCTTATAATTTTTTTTTTTTTGACAGGCAGAGTGGATAGTGAGAGAGACAGAGAGAAAGGTCTTCCTTTGCCATTGGTTCACCCTCCAATGGCCACCGCGGCCGGGGCGCTGCGGCCGGCACACCACGCTGATCTGAAGGCAGGAGCCAGGTGCTTCTCCTGGTCTCCCATGGGGTGCAGGGCCCAAGCACTTGGGCCATCCTCCACTGCACTCCCTGGCCACAGCAGAGAGCTGGCCTGGAAGAGGGGCAACCGGGACAGAATCTGGCGCCCCGACCGGGACTAGAACCCAGTGTGCCGGCACCGCTAGGTGGAGGATTAGCCTATTGAGCCACGGCGCCGGCTATAATTGGGTTTTCCCACAAACTTTTGGAAGTCCTCCTGTAAACACAGTGGTGGGTGTTTGTTTACTCTGGGTGCCGCTTCTACAGCAACACTGGAGGCATTCACAAACTTGGAGTGCCTCATCTACAGTGTGGAACTCTTGTCGGCGCCACCTCTCGGCCAGCAGTGCCCGAGGTGGGTGCTGTGGTGCCTCTGGGCACAGGAAGCTTGGCTACAGGAACTGGCACCCACTATGCAAGGGGGAGGAGGGGAGGAGCAAGTCCTCTCCCACTGGCCAGCTGTGTGGGTGCAGTCCCTACCTAACTACCTAGTCCCTCCAGCTGAACGGGGCCCCCCTGTATCCAAGCGTATGTCTGTACCTTCCCTGTTCTCTCCAGAATCTGGCCATGCTGCTGCTCAGAGGCCAGGAGGGCCTGGGTGAGCTGCTGCTCACCCCAAGGGCAGCCTTCCCAGGTACCACGGCACCCCCGTGTGCAGGCTGAGATAGAACGAGTGACACGTTGGGTAGAAGGTCTTCTCCTTCCCCTGGAGATCGGAACTGGGGGGGAGAGGGGGTTTGTCCAAAAAAGTACAAAATGATGCTTGCATGTTCTGCTGCCTGGGAGGATGAAATCCTCACCTGGCAGAGCTGCGAGTGTGGCCTGAGGCCTGGAGTAACTGCAAACAGCCAGGGGACCATCAGAGAGGGCGAGCAGTGGGGCGTCCAGTGTGACACCCACCTCCAGGTAACTGAGGGATGACCACAGTGAGCCACCCAACCAGCAGACTCGGGGTGGGGGGGTTCCCTTGACAGCACATGGCTCACTCACGTCATCCCAAGTTTCCACCAGCTACTTCTCATCGTTTTCCCAAGATTAAGAAACGATGTCACTGATCCGACAGACCAGAAAAGGTACCTCCAGACTCAAGTCACCTGCTGTCCGGTGGAGGCGCAAGTGGACGTACTCTCCCGGGAGTTTGCAGCCCAGCTCGCTGCCCATTCAGGGAGACTCTCAGTGCCTTCTTGGCTGTGTGTACAGATGCGCGTTCAGGGAATGTTTGCAGGTGCTTTCCTGGGCAGCCCACAGCCCAGGTAGACAGCTCGCTCCTCAGCTCTGACCCCACCACCTAATTTGTTACCTCTAACTCTGCCCTGCTCGGAGACATGCAGCTGGACTCATGCCTGGCATCTCCTCTCTGCGGGGAGGGAGAGGAGGAGGAGGAGTCTCTCTAAATACCACTACTTCCCCACATGGCCTCAAAACTGTACATTAGCTCTTGAGAAAGAGCAAGAGGAATGAAAGCAAGCAAGCCTGCAACAGGGGGAAGCTTCCCAGGAATGCTCCCGAGTAGAACGACAGATGAACCCTCTTACAAGCTACGTCTCTCCTTCGGGCAGTCATAGGACCTTAGGGAGAATACATCCAACCTCGGAAATTAAATAGTATCAGCCCAACATCCCAGCCGACCCCTGAGACCTCCCACCAATGAGCACAGACTTCCACTGTGATCCTGGAGAGGGAGCAGTCTGCACACCCGCAAGGCACCATGCAGAAAACATGCACGCGTACAATGGACCCGAGGCAGGGTATCCGACACATCGGTTAGCACCGAATGGCCGAGAGCTCACGTGTTGTTCACAAAAACAAGTGCCTGTTGATCCTCCTAAACCAAAACTTCAGCACAGCCCGATTCCTGTGCAGGCCACCTCAGGGCATGGGGTCAGCCACCGCCACCCAGGTTTCTCTGGGCTCCCCTTCACAAGGTGGCTCTTAGGGTCGGTATTTCGGGAAAGTCCATGGAAACACTCGAGGCAGAGAGAATGGCACAGGACTTTTCACACGGAAGCAGTGAGCTTCCAGAGAGCCTAGGCTGTTCTGCGCACTCCCAAGAGTGACCAGAAGGGCCAAGGACAGCAGGTACTTGGCCATCCAGGAGAACTGGCCTGCTTGGGGTCTTTCTGTGGAAACCCTGGAGAGCTCCCGAGGGGAAGCATCCTCCCGCCTCCCTGTACAGGGCGATTCTCACACTCTGCTTTTTCCTCCCATCTTGACTGTGGCTCCTATTCCAAAGGGGCCTCCCCATGTCCCATACTCTACTCTCTACCTTTATTTTTAATTTTTTTTAAAAAATTTGCTATCACTTTATTTGAAAGAAAGATTGAGAAAGAGATGGATCTACCTTCCATCCACTGGTTCACTCCCTAAATGCCCCCAGCCAGAGCCCACAACTCCATCCAGGTCTCCCAAGTATTTGAGTCATCACCCGCAGCTTCCCAGGGTGCGCATTAACAGGAAGCTGCACTGGAAGCAGATGAACTGGGACTTGAACCAGCCACTGCAATACAGGATGGGACCTTCCCACGAGGTGTCCCTAATGACTTCGCCTAATGCACCACCCCCCACCACCACCCTGTACATGATCCAGTTCAAATCCCACCTCCTTTCCATGACTGCAAACAAGGGTGCCCTTTTCAGACTTGAAACTTGCCCAGAGTGAAGCATCGAAAGCCCTGGAAACACCAGTCGACACTGCCTTCTGGTTCCTCTTGCATCACTAACTCACACGCTTAACCCTGCAGCCAGCTCCTGCGGCTTCCGGGATGCCAGAAATCAAGCCTCCTCCTGCCTGCTCTCTCACACGAGAGGTGACTCAACTCTGAGACCCAGGGAGAGGCAAAGCAGCAGAGACATCGTGCGGAGAGTGGGTCTCTGCAGGGGCTGGCAGGTGGCTCTCCTTCCCTCCGGCCCAGTCTTGGCCCACTGAGCAGTCGGTCTCGCTGGAACCCCAGTGTGCCTATGATTCTGCGCTTCTGTGGGCCTGAGGTTCTAGTCCAAGACAGAGGCCAAGACTTCTATGGCTAAAGATCCAGGAGGATCTCATCTACTGCTAAGGGCAGAATACTGGTCAGAAAGCACAAGGGAGTCTGTAACCCAGTTCGTGTGACTTCAAATAATTCTAGAAGGATCTGGAAAGAGCCTCCGACTGTACCACAAAACCTCACTTGGAGCTGTAGAAACCAAAGACCACAGAAGGGCTGTGATCTTAGTCAATCAGCCAGGTGGTGACAGCACCGACAAAAGCCCAGTCTCCCGGTGCCTAGTGAGGTGCACCCCCCACCACCACCACGCCAGGCTACCGCTCCCTGCCGGAAACACACCATTATCAGCAACAGTCATTTCAAAGCACACAACAAGCATCTGTACGGCACCGCATAGCACTAGGGTACTAATCACCGTGACTCCGTCGGCAGCCATACACCAATGAGGTCAAATGCTAACTTGAAATACAGAACCAGAACTTGTTTCCCACCCTAACTCCAAGGACCTGGCTGGGCAAGCCATTTCCTTCTTGGCCCTCCATGTTCCAGTCGTAAAGGACTCTCACCAGGAGAGCTACTGGTGTTCTGACAAGGTTCATGCTTCCCTGGGACTGTCCACTGAATCGTAGGACACCTAGCACCCCTGGCCTCGTGCCAACAGTGACCCCAGTCATTGTGACAACCCACCCTGCCCCTCCCAACTTTAACTCCCGTGCGTAAGAACGACCGGAAGCTCTCCAAGGCCCTCGCTGGCTCCGGGACGCCAGCAGGAGGACAGCAGTGACAGAGCAGCCTACCCGTAGATGTCCAGGACGCCGATGAAGGAGTGCTGCTTGAGGGAGGTGTGCAGGGCCTTGTTGATGTGCTCCACGATCCAACTGAACAGCTGCGCGTAGATGTGCTTGGCCAGGGCGTTGCGGGCGTTCACCACCTGCTGCAGGGACATGGTCTTCACGTAGGTCTCCGAGGTGGTGACCAGCTTGCGGTGGCACAGCCAGTGTTCCATTTGACTGTGCTCCACTCCGAGCAGGCGGCAGAAGTTGCCCAGGTGCTCATCCTGGGGCTGGGGAGGACGGGCGAGAGGCTGGTTCAGGAGGGGTATGGAGGAGAAGCCCACCCACGCTCTCTTCCCTCCAAGTCAAACCCGAAGCTCCCAGGGAGCCTCTCTCTCATACACACCCCACTAAGCAGAGAGAACAATGGGCGCCTAAACAGTGTTGCTCGAACTGATCACTCCACCTGCTAATGAGGACATCCTCGGATAGCTTAGGAAGGAATCATGTACTCTGGGGTGGGAGCTGGCAGGTAGCAAACCTCACAGGGAACAGCAGGTGCACCTGTAGTGGTCCCCACGTGGCAGCTGCTCACGGAGCGGTTCTCTCACTCACGCATGGATTCCTCACTCACAAGCCTCCCTAACTGGCTGGATGCTCAGACACGAACCCCAGAAGCCTGGAGCTGGAGAGGGCCCATGCAGAGCACGTGGCCCCTTCTCTGATGTAAATGGGCACTGGCCAGCCCGTGACCCTCTTCTGGGTGGGTTACACATGAACCATCTCAGCGCAGTGGGGTTTTACGGCCCCCTGCCAACCTGTGTGTGATGCCAACAGGTGTGCTTGGCTGTGCAGAAGCCACACGAAGACCTCCCAGTGCTAAGGGGCCGTCTTTGTCTCAGACTCAGAGATACAACCTCATGCATGACCGAATGGTGTTTCCCCTGTTCAACCACTCACTGCCTGGGGGAAGCCAGGCCTGAGGGGCCTTGTCTTATGTTACCAATGTGCACAGGTGTTGTAGATAATGCTCACTGCCCACCTGGGGCACCCCCAGAAAGCCTGCCTCTCACCTGCCACTCATTCCCTCACCTGACCCCACCCTCCAGCGGGCCATGGGGCTGGTTAACTGGGAAGCTAGAGAACCTTCTAGAACATGAGGTGTCACCTCCTGATGGCCCTAACTGCTTGTGAGCCTCGTTTCCCAATGAAGCTGCCCTACAGGGCGTGGAGGAGGTTTTTCTCAGTGAAGATTAACACAGAGAACTCTGTCATTCCCCTAATGCTCAGGCCCCAGGCCGTTCTCCTACAGATACTCAAAATCCATATACTCAAACACACGATCACAAAACAGACAGAGCAGAGAGAATGCCTCAAAGCCCTGCACACTGGTGTTTTTCCAAAGCACGGTTGGTGGGACGGCAGTCGCCAAGCCCCAGGGGAGCAGGCGGCAGCAGGCTGAGCACAGCCAAGCACGCCCTGTCTGCATCGAGAAGCCGGCACCCCAAGTCTGACCTCGGAAGTTCCTGAGCAACCACCCGGGATGAGGCTCCCAGGAAAACACCTTTGGAATTACCATCTTAGAGCACGCCCCCCTCGTTATTCAGATGAGCCGTGAGCTCCCTCTCCACAGGACAGGAGAGCCAGCTTGCTTTGGACCTGCTGGGTGTGGGGGCTGCCACAGCCACCTCCTCCAGCCAGCGGCCTTTCTCTCTGTACCCACCTTCCTCCCCAACCCCCACCCCAAGCCACGGGTGGCAGGGTTAAGCGCCTGGGCGCAGTTCGTCAGGCAGCAAGTTCAGAGGTGGCAAGCGTCCAACTTGTCCATCTGACCTCTTTCCAAGAAATCCTTAATTGCGAGGCATCACACTGCAATGCATTCACTCACCCTTCAAGGGCCTGCGCCCAGGGCGCCCTGCTCTCCCTGCTGCCCCCCACCATGAGCACAGAGATGAGGGGGTCCACTGACTGCAGGGGGCCCTGGCTTGCTCCTCCCTCACTGCATGCACACAGCTGACCGCCGATGCTAACCGAAACTGGTGAAACATGGTACAATGACACTGAAGCACGATTAAATGATGCTAAATCCATTAAAGATAGCCAGCACCACAGGTAGTAGGTTAGTTTTATGGGCCCATGTTGCCAAATTCAAGAAATAAATTGCTTCTAGGGTCCAACTCATCGGGTACTGATGCATCTCCAAGGGAACTGTGGCAGTCACAGACTGCATTCTTAGGCTTTAATTAAAAATAAAAACTGCCAGGCAGAAGGCACGGTGCTTGTGGATAGGCAGCCTTTCAAATAGGAGGTCTGTGCTATGACCAGAGGGATCAACCAAGACCCACTGGACAGAGCAGTCACGACACGCAATGACACTTTTTTAAAGAGAGAGCGAGCAAGCACACAAGAGACAGGTCTTCATCCACTGGCTCACTCCCCAGATGGCTCACCCACCTGGGCCCAGCAGGTAAGGGTCAGGAATGTGGGAGCTGGTGGTGTTGGGTGCCCCAGAGCAGTTCCTAACATCTGATGACAGCCAGGCTGTGAGTGCACCCACCGCCTCGGAGAAGCAAGGCTGACAGCAGCATGGGGAAGGAACACTTTGCCGGGCCCTGTCTTGCCCTTCCCACTAACTCACATTCAGATTGCAAGAAAGGGCCTCTGCGTCTTCACCTCCGTCCAGGCAAGGAGGCTCTCAAGGTCCACTCTGGCCCTGACAACAAGGTCGCAAGGGTCAGGAGCTCGACCACCGGGAGCTCCGAGCTGAGGCCTCCCCGACACGGGTTCTAGTGACTCCCACTCCCACACTGCACACAGCAGGAAGTAGCCTCAGGAAGCCTGTGAACCCCGGCAGCCCGGGCTCAGACTTCGCAGTTCACTGGCTTCCCAATTTCTGACTGCAGAACAATCTAAGGCTGGCCCGAGCAGGCACCTGCATTCACAAGCTGTCCATGACTGCCTGTCATCTGTCAGAGCAAGGGCTGCTGGGCCACCTGGGTCCCAAACTCTGCCTCTCTGGCCCCCTCCCCTGCCCCTTCTCATCACGCAATGCTCCGTCAACCCTTCCCAGGCACACTCAGCAGGCACCCGCACACGTCAGGGTAGAACGGTGACCCTAACAGGCCTGGTCCCGGGCTTTAGTTGGGGGACACAGGCATTGAACAAATCAGTGCAAATTTTCCTTCAGGCCTGAGCGCTCAGATCCAAGACGCTTCCGTGAACCCCAAGCCTTGGCTTTCCAAAGAGCCACCGCCTCCTGCCCCACCACCAGCCCTAAGGACTCAGATTGGGGGCCCGGCTGGCCTGCACTGGAGGCTCCAGGCCACAGGTGCCGCTCTGTGTACTTGAGTCTCAGCATCATGGCTGCCAGCCCCACTGCACTGCACATTCTGCAGGTGCACACACAGCCTGGCAGTCATCAGACGTTAGGAACTGTTCTAGGACACCCAACACCGAGAGCTCCCACACTGCGACACTTGCCTGCCGGGCTCATGTGGGTGAGCCACCATGCTCACCAAGGACAAGAGCAGGGCTGACATGCCAGGGGCCTTCCTAAACCCAGAACCACTCCCTTTGAGGGAAAAAATATTGGGTGAGGAAGCGAGGCAGTGATGAGCTCTGGCTGACCCCAGCTATAGTTCTGTTCTTCCTCTCCCTGAAGGCAGCAACAGCTGGGATTAGAGAAATCCTAGCCCAAGACAAACAGGAGGAGATTAACAAATGTCCACTGAAGAGAGCGTCAGCTTGCGGATGGCATGGACACACGCCCACACTCATATTCTAGAAGGTTCTCTCGTCTTTTCCCAGCATCTGGTTCTTTAAATTTTACACGCCCAGAAGCAAGAATCACACGCTCTGTACCTCCCAGTACCCACCTGTAAACACGAACAAAACAGCGTGTAGCAAACAGCTGCAGACGCATCTACTCAAGGCCAGCCCAACACCACTGAATCCCAGACAGGACACAGTTGCCACTGTGTGGGTGTCACTCATGGGGCCTTACCCTACCTGCCCCTCGACACCCTTCCTCCACCACCTGGGGCCACGGGACAGCAGCTTTCGCCTTGAGCACGCATGGCTCCCTGGAGAGCCTACCTCCCACCATCAGAACCTTGACAAGAGTCACTGCCCAGGGGGATGGTAAGCACCCTTGAGGCAGCCACCAAGTCTGGTGCCCAGAACGCCATCATCTCCTCACCATGGGGACCATCAGTGTGGACCTCAGAGGGGACTCGATGCGTGGATCACATGCAACAGGATTTCCCGTACTTCCGGGTGCCTAGAAATCACCCTTGCAAGAACAATCTATTGAACAGCGACTACATTCCCTGGCTGTGGGGGCAGACAGTGGATGGCAGCTGATATGAAAGGCACTGGTTCTTTCACAAAATTATCAGCAAGGGAACAGAAACCATTACCGTTAAGAATACATAACCTGTGAGCGTCCTCTAAGTGCAGACACGCATTTCAGTCACGTTAAGCCGTAAGCAGAGAGCGCAGTGCACGCATTTTATCCCCAGGGCCGGTGTGCAACTCACTGATATACTACAGGACTCGCCATCCCGCTCAGCCTGAATCTCCACACTTCCGAGGTGCAGGATGGAAGCAATTATCTTAAAAATGCTTATCTGATGGGACTCTCTCACCCCTGGAAGAGAAAAAGGAAAAAAGTGTGTGAATGAACGACACTCAGTATCACAGTAGGATAGAAAAAAGAACGCTTTAACCTTTTTAAGGACTTCTTCCAAGCAAGGTCTGGTTTTCCTTTCTGGGCCAGTGACTCCCAGAATGATCCAGGCTCCTCACCACGTCATTGCCACCCACAGTGACGGCTCAGAGGGCAAAGGGGCTCCGTGGGCCACAGAGGAAATACCCCGGCTCCGATGGACCTGACGGAACCGGATGGGTTGTGCCACCATCCCGACTTTGAGGAGCGGCTGCGATCGCAGACTCGTTCTGGACTTTGTGCCAACCAAATGCTTTATGGATGATTCGATGAGTTGAAGGAGCACGGCTAATTATCTGCAGTCCTTTTCCACCCAAAACGGTATCCTGCAAACATCTGTGATGCATATCCCCAGTGTGCGAGAGGACGAGGTTCGCTTGGAACTGTGGTTTCAGGGGCTGCAAGGCCAGCTGGCTCGGGGCCCCCGGATGGGGGCTGCTGTTCCCCACTCTGCCTGCACCTTCATACACACCAGTCCCAGAGCCGCTGCCGCAGACACCCTGCCATCAGATCTGTCCCGTACTCAGGAATGAAGAGGCTTTAATAACTGAAGTTTGGCTTGAAAGCCTGTCTTTTTAAATTACAAAATAGGGGCCAGTGCTGTGGTGCAGCGGGTTAACACCCTGGCCTGAAGCACCGGCATCCCATATGGGCACCGATTCTAGTCCTGGCTGCTCTTCTTCCAATCCAGCTCTCTGCTATGGCCTGGGAGACTACGTGGGAGACCCAGAAAAAGCTCCTGGCTCCTGGCTTCTGATTGGCACAGCTCCAGCCATTGCGGCCAATTGGGGAGTAAACCATCGGATGGAAGATCTCTCTCTCTCTCTCCGCATAACTCTGACTTTCAAATAAATAAATATTTTAAAAAATTACAAAATATTCCAGACTTCCAACAAGAAGGCTAAAATAATGCACATTAGTAAATCTACCACTTGGTTTAAAAAACACGGTTGTTCCCCCACCCCACCCTAGCCTGCAAGGACTGATCTTTAAGGCATCACTTGACTTAGGCTAAAAGGAAAGTCAACCACCAGTGTACATGGGCGGCAGAGAGGGGTCAGGCTAGGACTAAACATTTCCCAGGGGCAGGCATCTGCCCTGATGCTTAAACACTACTTAGGACATCCATTCCCCCATCAGGGTGTCTGGGTTTGACACCTGCTCTGCTTCTGATTCCAGTTTCCTGCTAGGGCGGGAGCAGCAGTGATGACTCGTGTGACTGGGTTCCTGCCACTCACGTGGGAGACCTGGATGCAGCTCCCAGCTCCAGCCCCAGCTATTGTGGGCATTTGGGAAGTCAACCGGATGGATCAGAGTTTTTTGTCCTTGCCTCTCTAAAGAAACAACATTAAAAACAATTCTCCAGATAATGCAGAGTAGACAACCCAAGCATGAATTAAACAAGATTAACCCGTAGGCTTTAAGGGGAGATGGCCACTCCCACGTAAGCCTTTCAGAGACAGGGACATGGTTCCTGTTGACTATGGGAACTTCGTGATCACATACCCCAGAGCCCAGAACAGAGCCTGGGCCAGAGTGGGAGGCTCAGAAGTGTGAACAAAGGAACAGCTGGACTGAGGACTGCAATACAAACGCAAGGACCTGCAGACATCTGCAGAAACAGAGGCGTCCCCGAACTGCCTTATTTCAGTTGCATAATCTAAAAGCCAGAGGCTGCAGAAGGCAGATGGGCTCCTGGTTCAGTTAACCGGGTAAGTATGGTGCCAAGAAGACACACTCGAGCCAGGGGCTGCCCTCCAGGATGAGGTGGGAAAGCTGGATGCTTCTGCACCTGTGGATGGAGGCAGGCACTGGGCCTTGAGTCTGAGCTCAAGAGTGCACTGCTCTCGGGCGAGTCCCCGTAGGAGTCAGCAGTGGGTGCTGGGACCATTTCACGGGCAAGTGGGAAACCCTGCAGTCAGCTTTTCTCTGTCCCCACTTGTTCTCGGGAGACAAGACTCTGTCCATTTTCTAAGCCCTAAGCCCCCTGCCATGGCAACAGTGTGAGTGACATGTGTGAATCCCTGTGCTACACTGATGACGAAGTCCCTTCTTACTACAGGGTCCTCCTGATGTGCTGCACATCACCAGAGGAAGACAGAAACAGAACAAAAATTCAAGGAGTTGGGGCCAGCACTGTAGCACAGCAGGGTTAAGCGACACTGGCATCCCGTGCTGGAGCTCCAGTTCGAGTCTTGGCTGCACTTCTTCTGATCTAGCTCCCTAATGGGCCTGGGATGGCAGTGGAAGATGGCCCAAGTATTTGGACCCCTTGCCATCACCCATGTGGGAGACCCAGATGGAGCTCTGGGCGCCTGGCCCAGCCCCAGCCACTGTGGCCACTTGGGGAATGAACCAGTGGATGAATGCACGTGTGTGCTCATTTATTTGAAAGGCAGAGTGATAGAATAAATAAGTCTTTAGAAGAAAAAAAATCAAATAATAAAACAGAAAATAAAAGAGGGTGTCAACCTATGGCCCAGAGCCCACAGCCTGTTTCTGTAACGGTGTTACTGGAAGTCACACCCACCTGCTCACACCTTCTCCAAGGCTGCTCCAGTGATGCACAGCAGAGCTTTAAGTGCAGGTGCAATGGAAACCCACAAGCCACAGGGCCTCAAACACTTACTATCTGTCCCTTAAGAAAACACGCCAACCCCTGCAGTGCAAAAACCAAAACCAAACTTACGGAAGAGAAGGAAACACAGTCTACGACCTGCTTTGCGAGTAAAAGGACCCAGCTTCCTGAGAGGGCCTGACCCTGTCGTACAACCAGCTCCTGCCCTCTGTGTACACCTACTGGTCAGGGGCTGCTGCCAGAGGCCCTCTCCTCTCTCTGACAAGCTAGGCAGAATGTACCCTGCCCCCAGCTCTGGAGAATCAGACAGGCAGTGGTGCCAGGAGCCACCTTTGACTCCTAAGAATTCCCGTGAAGAAACCCCGCAAAGTCTCCTCTCTGCCCCCTCCCCCTCCTCGCCCTGCCGTGAGAGCCCAGAGCTGGGCCCTGTCGTCATTTCTCCTTGGTCTGCTGGTGCAATGTCAAGCCTGCTCCCCGGAGGGCACCGCAGTGATTGCCCAGACAAGGGCAGCAAGAAGGCATCTGCCCGTTATCACCAGCGACCTCCTTGGTGGCCCTCCTTGGCCTCAGCCAGCACTCCACAGCAGTGGCAGCTTCTGAGCTCGCCTGGGCAGCTGCAGCCCGCTCCTGTAGAGCAGGGCGGGTCCACACCCTGAGGGGCAGCTGGCTGCAGGCAGCTCTCAACAGTCCCTTGGCTGTTACTCCTCACCCTAGACACAGCGGCTGTCCCCCTGCACCTCGTAAGTCCCCTTTCACCCCTTTTTATGGTCAATCACCTACTGTGGCTCTGTTTGCTCACTGTTTAGATCCGTGCTTCCCTGTTGGAATAATCAGTGGTGGCTATCTCAGTTCATGGGTACAGATGACAAACCCTGGCCACACACCTGTTACAGGAGAAGTGACCATGCATGGGACGGCCTGTTTTCCTCCCTGTACAGAGGGGAGGGTGTGTCCTGTCTGGCCTTGTTTTACCTGGACACTGGCTAAAACTTCTCTGGCTCCCACATCAGAGACCCTTCCCATGCTACTCTTGGTGAATCCCAGGGCCCAGGCGCTGTCAGGGGCTGGGAAAACACAGGAGCCGTCCCCAGCCAGGTCTCGGGTTTCAGGCGGACTTCCCAGGCTTTCCTTTCCTGGCTGCAGGCCCCAGGAACTCACCGGTTCCATTCTCCAGGGACTGGTCTTTAAGGCACCAGTTGACTTAGGCTAAAAGGAAAGTCAACCCCCAGTGTACATGGGCAGCAGTGGTTTTGAAGACCTGAGCAAGGGAAAAATAATACTTGTGGGTACCTGGGACAGAGACTCTTGAATCCTGAGGTTTTCTTTTAATTTATTCTCTTCTACCTGAGAGGCAGAGTGATGGGGGCTGGGGAGGGGGAGAAGGAGATATTCCATCCACTGGTTCACTCCTCCAAATGCCTACACCAGCGGGGGCTGGGCCAGGCTAAAGCCAGGAATCAGCTCGATCCAGGTCTCCGTGAGAGTGGCAGGGGCCTAAGTACTGGGGCCATCACTGCTGCCCCCCAGAACGCACCAGCAGGAAGCAGGATGGGAGGTGGGAGTCCCAAGAGCCGGCTTCACCCGAGGCGCCCCACACCCACCTCTCAAATGCTTATTTTTGAGAAAGACCAACAAAGCTCCGGTTCTGAGCTCTGAAGCCGAGGGTTGAGATGGTTCCGAGCAAAACCACGTTCACCAAGGACGAGAGGGCTCCCCGATAGCCGCGTGGCAGGACAAGCAGGCTCCCCGTTAGCCACGTGGCAGGACGAGAGGCTCCCTGTTAGCCACGTGGCAGGATGAGGGGGCTCCCCGTTAGCCACGTGGCAGGATGAGGGGGCTCCCCGTTAGCTGCATGGCAGGATGAGGGGCTCCCCGTTAGCTGTGTGGCAGGATGAGGGGTTCCCCGTTAGCCGTGTGGCAGTATGAGGGGTTCCCCGTTAGCCGTGTGGCAGGATGAGGGGCTCCCCGTTAGCCACGTGGCAGGATGAGGAGGCTCCCCATTAGCCATGTGGCAGGATGAGGGGGCTCCCCGTTAGCTGCATGGCAGGACGAGGGGCTCCCCGTTAGCTGTGTGGCAGGATGAGGGGTTCCCCGTTAGCCGTGTGGCAGGATGAGGGGGCTCCCCGTTAGCCATGTGGCAGGATGAGGGGGCTCCCCGTTAGCCACGTGGCAGGATGAGGGGGGCTCCCTGTTAGCCACGTGGCAGGACGAGGGGCTCCCCGTTAGCCACGTGGCAGGATGAGGGGGCTCCCCGTTAGCCGCGTGGCAGGACGAGGGGCTCCCCGTTAGCCGCGTGGCAGGATGAGGGGCTCCCCGTTAGCCGCGTGGCAGGACGAGGGGGCTCCCTGTTAGCCATGTGGCAGGACGAGGGGGCTCCCCGTTAGCCACGTGGCAGGACGAGGGGGCTCCCCGTTAGCCACGTGGCAGGACGAGGGGGCTCCCAGTTAGCCACGTGGCAGGACGAGAGGGCTCCCAGTTAGCCGCGTGGCAGGATGAGGGGGCTCCCCGTTAGCCGCGTGGCAGGATGAGGGGCTCCCCGTTAGCCGCGTGGCAGGACGAGGGGCTCCCCGTTAGCCATGTGGCAGGATGAGGGGCTCCCCGTTAGCCACGTGGCAGGATGAGGGGGCTCCCAGTTAGCCACGTGGCAGGACGAGGGGGCTCCCCGTTAGCCACGTGGCAGGATGAGGGGGCTCCCCGTTAGCCGCATGGCAGGACGAGGGGCTCCCCGTTAGCCACGTGGCAGGACGAGGGGCTCCCCGTTAGCCACGTGGCAGGACGAGGGGGCTCCCAGTTAGCCACGTGGCAGGACGAGGGGGCTCCCCGTTAGCCACGTGGCAGGATGAGGGGGCTCCCCGTTAGCCGCATGGCAGGATGAGGGGCTCCCCGTTAGCCACGTGGCAGGACGAGGGGCTCCCCGTTAGCCACGTGGCAGGACGAGGGGCTCCCCGTTAGCCACGTGGCAGGACGAGGGGCTCCCCGTTAGCCACGTGGCAGGACGAGGGGCTCCCCGTTAGCCGCGTGGCACATCACCTTGTTTCCTGCCCTCCGCCCACCTCCCACCCAGGAGCTGCTTACCCAGGAGCGTGAAGGCTTGCCGCGTCTTCTCGAAGTCCTCGGCATCGTCCACTCCCTCGATGCACGTGTCTCCACCCTGGGAGGTGTAGAAAAAGTCCTCTGCACACGCTGTGGGAGGCAAGGCAGCGAGGCGTGAGGCACTGGCCTCGGCCCCGCGTCACCCGCAGGCCACGAGCCACAGGGGGTTCTGCTCCCGCACACGGGCCCAGGCCCGACTCCAGCGAAATCCCTGAACATGTTCTGTACCCAGAATCACAAGTGGGAGAGAAAAGTGGAATACTGGGAGAGAGAAGTGTGCTACCTCGGGATGACGCACCACCATATTCACACAACACTGGTGCGGGAAAAACACCTGAGTACCCAGAGAAGTCACGGACAGAGCGACTTCAAAGGAGTCCCATGGGCTTGCCCTCAAGTGGGCTGCAAGGCCCACAGCCAAAGCCACACCCCCAGCATCGTGCTCTCGTGACCTCAGGCACGCTACCCAGCTCACGCAGCATGCGAGGGGTGGTGACAGGCCCAAGGGGGGTTCTATGTTCTCCTGTTTTCTAAAGTGCACGCTTGAACTCTGCAGGCACACAAACAAGTGCAGTCCAAGGCCCCCACCCTTGCTCAAATCTTCTTCGCTCAGGCCTCCACAAAAGCACTTGGCAAAGAGGGGCCCAGCTGTGTCCTAGGGTTCACAGCCAACCTTACACAGCAGGGGAAAGATGGGACAAGCCCCAGACAGCACCCGCACCACTAGGGGCACAGGCTCAGAAGTCAGCATTTAAGACAACAGGTGCACATCATCAAAGTGAGTCTTTGGGAAAACATGCTGCCACCCCACTGTCTCTCGCATTTAAGTGTGCAACGCTGGCATTTGCCAAAACTGGACACAGTGGTGTCCCTCCCCCTGGAGCCCTAGTGGAGCTCCTCCCCAGGCTGGGCGCATGCACTCACACACAGATCAGGCTACTGTGCCAGCATGCGGCTTCACTGCGGCTCCCAGCACTCCAACACCTGGTCCTTCTCCACACAGACTGCCACTGCCCTGGGTCTCACCTTCAGCTCCTGCCCTATAAGATCTGCCTCCAAAATGCCAGCCACACAGATCACACCTCTCTCCACCGCAAGCCCTGAGACAGAGGCCAAGACCTCAGCACAGCCTCTTGCCATCGCTCCAGATGCTGCTTGCTCCCTCCTCCCCCATCTCTGTGTCCAGATGCACGGTTTCCTTACCGTCCTCCATCCCTCCACCTGCCCTGTGCCTCCGTGGCCCTGCCTGCTCCTCCTTCCTTGTGTCTCCCCAGCTCTCCTGGCCAGGCTCTGACCACAGTGGACTTGGCCAGCTCCTGCAGCCCGTGAGGCACACAGGACCAGGCCTGCCAGGAAGTGGCAGAGTGAACTCAGCCCTAAATCCAAGTCTGACCACCCAATGCTGCACAGAGGAATGAGGGAAAACAGCAGGACTACATGTTTTGAAGGGGTTTCCCGAATGTTCTGAGGACTGGGCAGCCCAGGCCCGTGAACTGGGGGAATAGAGACGCCAGCCCTGTGCTTACTCACAGCTGCCACAGAGGCAATTTCTCACAAAGAAAACCCATCAGACCATTGCAGAGGACAGCAGAGCAGCTCCCGCCTACCTAACTGCTCCGTAAGCTCTGGCACAGAGCAAGGTGATGGCCCAAAGGCTAAGCAACGGCTCCCACCCTCTCTTGCCTTTGTGCCCCTTTGCACAGCACCTCATCTGACGATGTAGACAGCACCCGCCCAAGGAAGACGATGCTATGCATCCTCATTTTTTTTTTTTTTCAGACAAACAGGTGCAGGGTGTTCAGGATTTCCCACAACTGCCTGGGAGTCATTACTTGACCATGCTGTGGTGGTGATGACAGCCAATCTATGACACACACACACACACACACACCCTGCGCCCCGACTTTGCCATCCACACCACTGAACTCATCATCAAGATCGGAGACCACATCGGGAAGTCACCAGACATATGAACAATGGACTTCCACACTGCAGGGGAGGCTCCTCCATCTTCCCAAGACCGCTCATTGTGCACAGCCAGGATCCCGCTGCCCGATGTGCAGACCGAGACACGCCCAGCAGACCGAGACACGCCCAGCAGCCTCCCTGCTCCCACGTCCCGCTGGGGCTCATCGCTGGGTCAGTAGCAGCACTGGCTGATGAACAACCTGCATCCAACCAAAGTGACTCCCTCCTTCCCAGCTGTGTAAGGTCTACACCCAGCTCTGTTCAGATCGCTCCCCGGACTCTTAATCAGAGACATCCAAACAGCACTCAGTCTCCCCAGCCCGCCTGGGTCTTGGCTGTCCGTTCAAACCCTCCGCTGCTCATCACAGCCCAGAGCAATCCTTCCCGCCCCCAGGTTGGGTCTCTCTCCTTCTGCTAAGAATTCCCATGAAGAAACCCCCTGCAAAGTCTCTTATCAACTGGCTGAATGGGCAGACACCGGATCAGGCACCATCAGACCACAGCCGGGCATGAACCCGAGGATGAGCGCACGGGACCATGAAGTCCAAGGTCATGGGATCGTGCAGGCCACACGCTAGCTCTGCAAGGCCACAGGGGCAGCTTAGGAGACCACCCACACACCTGTGGGAGCGAGAAGGGAATGTATTCCACAATCACTGGAAAGCTGTGTTCAGGAGAAATGGGCCCTTTAGTCCTGAGCAGTATCTCCCACCACCCAGTCACTCTACCAGTCAGTCAGTGAACATTCTTTCCCATGTAAGGTCATTTAAAAGGCAAAGACCACCAACAGTGAGGACAGGAAGACCACGGGGGACCAGTCTGTTCTCAGGGGCACAGAACGCAGACAGGCCGGGGTCCTGCCCAGAATCCTGTGCATCAGAACAGCACGTCTTAGGGGAAGAGAAGGAAGCAAGGTAGGTCTGAATATTGGCTTCTTGCCACCGGCTCGCCTTCACTTACTGGACGTGGCCAGCCACTTTAGACCAGGGTTATTCGCAAAGCTCCACGCCGAGCGAGCCTCGGGCTCCCAGCCAACCTGCCCGCAAGGCTGCAGCCGCTCCCTCTTCAGAGCACGAGAACGTCCCAAGCAGGAGAAAGAAAGAGTCCAAGAAACTGACCAGATCGGGCGGTTCTCGGGGTTCTCAGGCACTGCAGCCAGGGCCCCCGGAGAACACACGGGCAGAGACAGGGAGTAAAGCAAAGTCCTTTTCTACCTCGACAGAACTCATGGAAGTGAGGACGAATTTAGGAGGCTTTCCTCCCCATTACTTTATGGTCACATCTGGGACAAAGTGATGCGAGGACAGCCAAGTGTTTAAATCTCAGGGCCTGTGCTGCGTTACAGGAGACAAAGCCACTGCCTGAAAGGCTGGCATCCCATACGAGTGCTGGTTCGAGTCCCGGCTCCTCCACTTCCTATCCAGCTCTCTGCTAATGTGCCTGGGAAAGTAGCAAAAGATGGCCCAGGTGCTTGGGCCCCTGCCACCTGCCTGGGAGACCCAGTGAAGCTTCTGGCTCCCGGCTTCAGCATAGCCTAGCCCAGGTCATTGTGGCCATTTAGGGTGTAAATCAGTAGATGGACTATACCTATCCCTCTGTGTAACTCTGCCTTCAAATAAATAAATATTAAAAAAAATTGTGTTTTTAATCTACAGGTTAGCCCTGAAAAGCCAGCTGGGCCTATGTCCCACTCTGGGAAGCAAAGAGGAAGATGGACGTGACCTGTAATGTGACCACCAACCTGGCCACTTAGGACAGAGCCACAAGGTGCCCTGGAGGGCGGTGCTACACAAGGACTGCTCAGCAGCTGACACAGTCTTCATCCTCAAGGACAGCCCGGCAGCCCTGGGAGAACCAGCCTTGCAAGCAGTGCCCAGCTGTGAGAACAGGTGTCACCCAGAGCTTCCTCCTCGGGGTCCCAATGTAAGTACCACTCCCAGGGGACCTCTGGCCCTCTGCCGTGCTCCCCTCAGCACGGCTCCCATCGCTGAGATGGTAACTGATAAGGCAAGCAAGGGCAGGACCCACATCTGCGTGGCTCAATACTTCACCTCCAGTGCCTAGCACAGCCCGAGTCGGATGTGGCGAATGAAGGGATGAACGCACAGTCACACGGTACTGCCATCAAGTTCTATAGATGCTCAAAAGCAGGGAAGCCAAGCTGAGGGGCGGACCTATGTCGAAACCACTTGATGCGTCTGAGCTACAGGAGGATCTGGCGCTTGACAATTTCAGATCAGGGACAGCCACGCCCCAGAAGCCCATTTCTCCCGCAGGTGTGGAGACCAATCTACCTCTGTCTAGACACCCAGCACTTCATGCCATCTGCTGGTACTGGCCCTCCACACACACCCACCAGAACACAGGCAGCAGGCCAGGGACAGGATGCTTGGCAGACAGACGATGTGACTTGGCCCCAGGCTGGTTCTTATCACACACAAGCGCACTGAGACTCCACAGCAGGGACCAGCCAGTGCTCCTAAGGAAGTCCCACATGGAAAGGGGGTGGGACAGGGGCTCCAGGTCCCAGGAGAGACTCTGGGGTGCAGAATCAAGAACTAAAGCTGGGGCCGGTGCCGTGGCTTATTTGGTTAATCCTCCGCCTGCGGCGTTGGCATCCCATATGGGCGCCAGGTTCTAGTCCTGGTAGCTCTTCTTCCAGGCCAGCTCTCTGCTGTGGCCCGGGAAGGCAGTGGAGGATGGCCCAAGTGCTTGGACCCTGCACCCACATGGGAGACCAGGAGAAGCACCTGGCTCCTGGCTTCGGATTGGCACAGCTCCGGCCATAGCGGCCATTTGGCGGGTGAACCAATGGAAGGAAGACCTTTCTATCTCTAACTCTGTCACAAACAAACAAACATACAAACAAAAACAAACAAAAACTAAAGCTGTTGCCCCTCCCCTAGCTCCACATCAACAACCTCACAGCAACAAAGGGTGGTGCCCACCATCAGCTGGGGACAACGAGGTGACTCATTCCCACTGCCTCCGGAGCCGAGGCATCTTGGGCTGTCCGCTGCAGGTGCAGTGGAAGCCTCCGCACCTGTTCAGGTGAGATCCGTCAGCCCGGCAGTGCTCAGTCTCAGCCACCCGAGCCCCCGCTTACCTTCTGCAGCAACGCCCACGCCTCACGGACAGCCCCAGAGCATCCTCCCTGCCTCCCAGCTGTATCCTCACCCACCTCCTCCCTTCCCTCTCAAATCCTTAACTATGACTTTAAACAAGCTGGCCAGTTTCACACGCATTCCCCAAATCTCTGGATCTTAATGGAAATGGCAGACTCCCCAAGATGCCTCTGGTGGAAAGGGAGACCACGTTCCACCCCACCGTGCCTCTCATCCTCCCCACGCTTCCTGTGGCCGGCGGCCTGCGTGCAGTTACTTCCGCTTTACCTGCGGGGCAGTGATGTTCAAAGAGGTCCGGGGACAGCGCCAGTCGTGCGCAGAGCCCCCAGTTGCTCACTACGGCGGCAGCAGCAGCCCACGCCCAGGGGACATGTAGGCACCTGATGACTTACTTAGCGCGAGTTCTTTGAATTCCGGAAGACTGGCAGCAGCACAGAGCTGGTAAAAGATGTGGTAATTCCTCTCGTCGTCTGCCTGGAGCGGGAGAGAGCAGAGCGGCTTCAAGGCAATGAGCCCCGAGACCACCCCGCACCCCTCTAACCTCAGGGGCTCTGGGCGCCGGAGGCCACGCCTGACGCTCTCCTCCACAGCCCTGCCACCTCCAATTCCCTCCTGATCTCTCATTCACTGTCCCTGGCGTTTGTCCAACCTGACGACCTTTACTTCCCGACCTATGTGAAAGCATAAGTTTTCTTTTTCCTTCTGGATGGAACACCATTGTTGTGATGGTCCGTATGCAGCAACATTGGTAGGCCAGCCAATCAAACACTAATTCAACTTCTGTGATGCCTGGCTCACGTGTACATGGCAGTCTCCCTGTGCTAGCAGTCATTCTACTCGTATTCCAGCCCCTTTCTTTCTGGAAGGCTTGGAGTAAAGGCAACACCTGCCCACCCCATCAGGCTTGTGGTGGGCACGGTGCTAGGCTGGCCTTGCACTGGCGGAATGGCTATGGGTGTGTGTGTCTGCGCGTGTGTGTGCACGTCGGGAGTGGTTCCAGAGGTCTATGCAAAGGAAGAGGAGGCCCAAGAGGCATTCAGGGAAGAGCCGTGTGCAGCACACACACTTGCCCCCAGCACAGCAGCTGCTCCCATTACAATAGGAAAAAGAAGGGCATTCGGGGGTGAGGCACAGAGAAAGCCCAAGGGACAAAGGGGACAGGGGCCGGCTGAAAAACCCTTGAGATGTTGGTTGAGCACCGGCTTGGAGAGGTCGCCCAGAATTGCACAGCCGAAGCCATGGTGCTGCCACCTCTGAAAGCTGGGGACGGAGAGGCCACTGAACCCGAGAAGAGAGCGGGCTGCAGACGCAACCCAGGACGCCCGGTGCCACCTCAGTCCAGCGTCGGGACTGCACTGGGGGCGAGCGCCGCTGACCACCAGCAAAGGCAGAGCGGAGGAGAAGGGTCACACGGCAGCAGGCGGTACTCGGGCAGGACACGAGAGGGAAGCCACGACCCAGGGAGAATCCAGCCGGGCGGGAAGGGGGAGCTCATTTATTTGAAGAGGAAACTGAGCGGGTGGTAGGTGTAATTATTTTCTTAAGCTACCAAATAAGAAGGCTCTCGTGAAAGTAAGAACCCAGACTCTGTATCTGTGACAGTCTCAGACCCTAAGACTTTAAACTCCACGAGAAAAAGGACAGCCTTGCTCTTTACTGAATCCCTGGTATCTGGCACGGAGCCAGCCTGAGACTGGACCTGAACAACACTGCATAGGAGACTTTTGAGACCTAATGTCTACACCACTACAATGAACATTTGTTGATGAGAAACAGAGAAAATGGAACAAGTGCATCCAACACCAGCACCAAAAACGAGCCATGCTTTGGGCTCGTGAGGGGCCAGGGGGCACCGAGTGAGGGACCCTCGGGATGCATCCAGAGGGGCTCGCGTCCCACACTCACCTGGAAGACCACTCTGGACTTCTCCAACAGGTAGGTCCTCATGTTGGCCCCAATGATGTGGTACCGTTTGTCGAAGCCAATCTGAATGTACTTCCCAAAGCGGCTGCTGTTGTCATTGCGAGTGGTTTTAGCATTGCCAATGGCCTGGATGGGACAAACAGCAACAGAACAGGTGCTCATAAACAGAGGGTTTTCTACATCGCATGACTGTGTCTCCATGGCTGCATCTGTCTCCCTGCTCCCCTTCCTTACAGAGCCCTCTGCTGTAGAGACGACAATGGGCCAAGCTAAGCAGCAGGAACAAAATGAAGTCATTTTCCACGCTCCCTTACTCCTAAGGATGGCCGAGGAGAGTGAGTTGGTTGGTGGACTCTCTCCTGCCTTGGGCTTGGGGGTGCGGCACAAGCTCCATGTGACAGCTACAGCGGTAGCAGTCACCCTGGAATCATGAGGGAACAGTCTCAGGATCACAGAGACCTCGCTCTGATATCCTTGAACTTCCAAACCAATGCCAGAGCCTGCTAGTTCTGAACTTTTTCTGAGAAATACAAACCCTCCTGTGCTTAATCCATGTTGTTCAGCTCTCCGAGAACACGAGGTCTGATGTCGTTTCCCAACACCAAGTGGTACTTCCTAGAAAAAGCCGGAAGTCAACGCCTGCCCCCTTCCACACCTCATCACTAGGACGAATCAAGAAGCCATCTTCCTCCTCAGTATTGTTTCTCCTGCCACAGCACGGGAACAGTTCAGAATCCAGAATTTTAGGGGCTGGCATTGTGGCGTGGCCAGGAAAGCTGCCACCTGTGATGCTGGCATCCTGGATGGGCACCGGTTCCTGTCCCAGCGGCTCCACTTCCAATCCAGCTCTCTGCTAATGGTCTGGGAAAAGCAGCAGATACGGCCCAAGTACCTGAGTCCCTGCCAGCTGTGTGGGAGACTGGAGGAAGCTCCTGGCTTCAGCCTGGACCTGTGCTGGCTGTTACAGCCATGTAATTCCCACTGGGGAATGGACCAGTGGATGGAAGATCTCTCTCCCTCTGACTTTAAAAATCTAGAATTAAAAAAAAAAAATGAGTGGCTAAACAATTTCATGGTAATAATATTTACTTTCTATTAAAAATCATATTGCTAATGGATTAGTAATGAATATATGTATTTGTGTCTGTGTGTGTATATATGTGAAAGATTTATTTAACTATTTGAAAGGCAGAGTTAGAGAATGAGAAGGAGACAGAAAGAGACATATTCCATCTGCTGGTTCACACCCCAAATCAACTCAACAGCCAGGGCTGGCCTGGCTGAAGCTAAGAGCTTTTTCCGGGTCTCCCCCGTGGGTACAGGGGCCTGAGGACTTGGGCCACCTTCCACTGCTTTCCCAGGTGCATAAGCAGGGAGCTGGATCATAAGTAGAGCAGCCAGGACTCAAATTGGCACCCATATGGGATGTGGGCACTGCAGAAGGTGGCTTAACCTGCTGTGCAACAATGCCGGCCCCAGTAATGAATACATTAATATTTTAAGCCTTGGGCAGGTGTTGTGATGCAATAGGTTAGACCACTCTTAGGAGGCCCACATACTGGAGAACCAGTTTGAGTCCTGGCTGCTCCGCTTCCCACCCAGCTTTCTGCTAATGTACGTGGGAAACAATGGATGGCGGCCCAAGTACTTGAGTTCCTGCTACCCACATTGAAGACCTGGATTGAGTTCCGGGCTTTAGTCTAGATCCATCCTAGCTAGTGTAGTCATTTGGGGGAGGGAATCAGTGGATGGAAGGGCATGCCTTTCAAATAAGCAAACTTTAAAAAAAAATTCTAATCCTCATATGTTCACACTTTTGGGTGGTCAAAATACTTGAAAAATACCCACTTGCACTTCTGAGTAGTCTTGGAAATGTGAAGCAAAGAATCCCACCCTATCCTCTACTCCGGCTCAGCCCAATCCCATCACAGAACTCAGTGTCTCCTAGCACCCCCACACTTTGTCATGCTGAGATGCCATCTGCTACAAAGCCAGGAGAGCTGAGCACAAAGCCCAAAGCTGACCCACGACTAACGTGCACAAACACGTCCTGTTGAGTCAGCATCAGGAGAACCCATACTTCCTCCTGAGACCAAGTCAGGCCTTGAGTCATCCCGCCTGCTCATCTGCAGAAACCAAAGCCCAGCCCAGCTAGGGACGCGGCTTAGCCCAGCACTGGCTTGCATCCACCTATCCACTTCCCACAGGCATCCAGGCTGACATCCCTGCAGGTCCAACACGTAAATATTACTGCTCTTGCAGAAAATGCAGGGCACAAAGAAGCACATCAAACAACATTGCAAGGGGGTCACCAGCAATGGCTAGACAGGAAAACTCTACACTGCCTGGTTTCAACAATGAAGTTTCTATTTCCAAACTTTAATCTCATCTCTCAAAAATCCAAATTCCTTAATGTGTAAAATGGCATCAAGACTTGCTAGCTTATCTGAGGTCATTGCTTCTCATAGCTTAGGAACACCTTGCCCAGGTTCTAAAGTTCATTGCCAGCAGACCTGCAAAGCCATATGACGGATGCTAGCGCTGGAACGATTCTGAGTAACCGGGCATATCTAGTAAAATTGCACACGCATGCATCTGACCACTCAGCAATTCTATTTCTAGATAGCACCTAGAAAAACCTCATCCAAGTACATAAGTGGGCAAGCACAAGAATGTTCAATACCAGCTATTTTCAAAAATAAAATACAACCTGAATGTCCAGTGGTAAGGAGGGTATAAATAAAATGCAGTAGATTTATATAATGGCATACTAAAATGCTGTAAGAAATGAGAGCATATTTCATAAACAAAAAATGTCACAGGGCTGGTGTTGTGGTCCAGCAGGTTAGGCTGCTGCTAGCATTCTGTATCAGAGCTCTGGCTGAAGTCCTAGCTCCTCCACTTCCGACTCAGCTCCCTACGAATGCCCTTGGGAAAGCAGATGATGATCTAAGTACTTGTGCCCTTGCTGCCCCTGTGGGAGACTTAAATGAAGTTCTGGGCTCCTGGCTTTGGCCTGGACCAGCCCTGGGCATCACAGCCATTTTGGGGAATGACCCAGCAGATGGAAGAGATTTCAATTTGTCTCTCTCCGTTGCTCTATTCCTCTGCCTCTCAAAATAAATAAATCTTCAAAGAAAGAAAATGAAATTCAGGCTTGGCCACTTTAAAAAATTGTTGAGTGAAAAGCAAGCTGCAACATGATTGATGGACTAGGACTCCAGACAGACAGACAGACACACACACGCACGCAGGCACACATGCACTGGCTTCAGTCTGCTGGCTGCATAGTCAAGCGGGAAGTCTCAGCAGGACGGAAACAGAGCAGGGAGCAAGGAAAGGCTCTGTGGAGTGAAAATGGACACGAACCTTAAATGAGCAGAGTTCTACTGCCGGGGAAGGAGTGGGAATTCCATTTCGGAATGGTGTGTGCACACAGGGACAGGCTACGTCGGAGACACACCTGAAGCAGCTGGAGTGTGCTGACACAGGGGATGAGGCAGGTATGCTGGGGGCAGACTTGTGTATGAATGTGTTCATTGTCGTGGGCTCTCTGAGCTTTTCCAGAAAAGACCCATGAAGAATGTATCTGGTCTGCATTTCCCTTTTTGTGCCCACTGAGCCCCCGAGTCCCCTCTCTTTCTCCCAGGAGGAGGGGTTGCTGGCTGCAGCTCCGAGGACCAACCAGGGACAGCAGTCACGCCCAGAAGCCCTGGGGGCCCTCCAGCCTGGGCCAGGCTCTGTCCCTGCTCCAACAGCCTCCTGATCACTAACGTTCGTTTAATCAGCGCAGACTTGTGAACAACTCAGTCCCGGGAGGCTGACAAGCTCTTAAATAGAATGGGGTCAGAGCACGCTGGCGCTACAGTAAATCATCCCGATCCGCCCCAGCCAATCCCAATCTGGCCTCAGTCGCTGTGAATTCCAACAGCTGCCATTCAGCACAGCCCAATGGGAGCCCCGCCTCCTCAAATGTCCTCCACTCTGTCCCCCCGGGCAGGCATATACAGCTGCCCGGCAGTGGAAGCAACTAGACGACAGGGGCCTAGCCACCTGCTTCCTCAGGAGGGGCCGCCCTCCCCTGCGACAGGCCAGAGGCATCCGCAATCAGACGCCCACTGATAGCAATGTGCCTGCACTGGCTCCGCCCTCCGAGGAGCCACGCTGCCGACGGCTTCCACACGCCATGCCAGGACCTGGGAGACTCAGGACGTCAGAAAAAATCAGTGTGCGGTGTCCAGGCCACTGCTGCGCTTATTCACATCACGTGAGGTCACGCAGGTTAGGTCGGCTCAGGCAGGCGTCCCCTCTCCTTTGGGAGTCAGCAGCTGCACCCCACGTGGTGTATTCTGGAGTGTGCACGTTACTCTTGTATTTCTCTCATGCCAACACATCCTGCTTCCCTCCCCTTCCCACAAACCACCAGCTCCCCAGATACCCTGTGGGGTGTGGCAAACACCAGCTAAGTTCAAACCACCACCACGGAGAAAGCATTCCGGCAGTAGAGGCTTAGTCCCGATGGCCCAAAGGCAGAAACACCCCAACTAAATGTGCTGCACATTCATGCAACAAAGTAACGCTGGACAAGTCCACCTGATGGAGGAACCTAGAGTAGGCAAAGCAGGGAAGGGTGAACTAAGAGCAACGATTTAATGGCTACAAAGTTTTGGAAGTAGAAGATGGCAGCTTGAACATGGGTAATGCTACTGAACTGTGCACTTGAAACAGTAAGATGGGAAATTTTGTTATGCATATTACACGATAAAAATTAAAACACTGCTCCTATGCCTCATGTTAGGTCAGCTGGTGATTTGCCCTCGCAAAATCCCAGTGATTGACAATTACTCCCGCCCACCAAAGAGGCCACTTCTGCTTTGCCCCGGATAACCACTTCCTCTGTCTTTAAATCTAGGAGTCTCCCATCTCTCTGAAATCTTACTGCCGAGGAGGTTAACTGAACTTGCAAATTCAGAGTGAAGAAGTAGCCTGGCTTTGTGCCTATTCCAGGTAAGACGATGCTCAGTGTGGGCTCCTGGGGGGGAACTGCTCAAGTACAGGCTTGGCGAGCAGTCTCAGGGACGCCAAGGCCAGGGTCCGTGAACATCCTATGAATGGGACCATGGCCAGGCCCTGACCTCAGGATTTCAAAACACACACTGAGAGCAAACGGGCTACCAACTAACTGCTGGGCAGCAGGGAGGCAAACTACAGTAAAGCACGTAGGAGTGCATAAAACACTCAGTGATGTGGGGACAAGTCTCATGCTGCCACCTGCAGTGAAAATCCAGGAGTCCAAATGGCTATGCACCTGCTGGGGGTGGGAGGGCACAAAGCCTCCTGCCCCTTCATTCTCTTGCACCTTCCAGTGAGGAAGCCCTTGGTACCCTTCAAGTAGGGCAACAGTTCTCAAAGTGTGGCACCCCATCGGCAGCTTGTGCTCACCCAGGAACCTGGGAGAAATAAAGTTTGTCGGGCCCTTCCCAGGCTCGCAGACTCAAACTCTGTAGGCAGGGCCCAGGAGTCTGGGCTTTGCAAGACCCTCAGTGCTTCTCGCGTGAGAAGCATTGTGAAGGAGCACAAGTCTGCCTTCGAGTTTTATCTGCTTAGTAACAATGCCTTCCACTGTACTGACCATGTCCCCACCCATCCAAGAACCAACACTGGAACTTGCTTTTGTTGAATTCTTTGCAAGTGGTTGGAGTCCCATCTCTCAGCACAGAGCTACACATCTCCAAGTAACAGAATTCTGACAGCAGGAAGTTTTGCCTGGATAATCAACAGACACCCCTGAATTCAGACTCAAAGGTCACTTCCGAGCTTGGTAAAGAGATAAGGGTGGTGGAGGGGGTGGCTGGGAGCAGGGACAACCCTGGCAGGTTCTCGCTCCCTCCAGCTCCGACACTCATGAGACACCAACCATGTGAGAGCTTGCGTCTTAGCCAATGCAGCCAAAATGGAGCTTTGTTGGCAGCTCACGGCCTCAACTGAACCCCTTCTTCCCAGAATGAAGGGGCTGGCAGAGAGGGCCTGTTCTTACTCAACTGTCGCCCAGTGACACAGAGCCCCAGCCGCCAAGGACGGGGCAGCAAACCCAGCCCAGTGACCATGAAGCCCCTCGGCCCTCCCCAGCATACGTCAGTCTTCACAGAGGTGAGATAAAACAGAAAATGGCCAGTGTGATCCTGAAACATGATGAAGTTACAGCTACATCTCATTTTTAGAAGCCGCCTGTGGCACTGCCCTCACTCCCGCCCAGTCCAGGACATTCACACGGAAGCCCTGGCTGATGCGTGCGAGGGGAGAAGGCCCAGACAGAAGCCACTCCGGCCAGCCTGTCCATCACAGGGTGCTGCTTCCTGCAGCTCCACCACACGCATCTCGCTTCTACCTCCCTCTCCCCTCCTCCCCCAGGAGGAAATATATTCACGCTTTTTTCCGGGGGTGGGGGTGGGGGAATCTACTTAGCTTCCCCACCTCCCAGGAGGGTCACCCTGACCCAGCAGTGTGGACGGGGCCCTGACTTCCTGACCCAAGATGGCAGCAGGGGAGGCAGGGAGGGACGACAGTCACTGGGACACGCAGCAGAGAGCCTGAGGACGCTACACCAGCACCGGGATTCGAGGGCCACCATGGATGGGGTCAGGACATTCGCCCCTTTGCAGTTTTGGGGGCACCTCTGGGATTTTTCTCCTTGACAAAGGACAGGGGCACTCAAGGCAAGATGTAAATGCCGCCTCCAGGAGCCGCAGCCAGGCATCCTCAGGACCCACTATGCCAGGCCCGCAGCCAGGCTGGACGCCCACGAGTCTTTACCTCCATGATGGGACTGGATGCCAGGACCTTCTCTTCGATGTTGGTGTCACTGGCTGAGCCGCCGACTGTGGCGAAGTAGCGCATGGCATACTTGGCCGACACGGTCTTCCCGGCTCCAGACTCCCCGCTGACGATGATGGACTGGTTCTTCTCATCTCTGGGAAAAGGGAAAAAGCTCCGGTCAGCTGCTGCCTGTGGCAGGGCCCTGATGCCTTCCGGAGATGATGTTTCAAGGGCCTGAGCCGGATCAGGACACCGTTCTCACATTCAGGGGCACAGGAGGAGCGACGGCCTAGCAGCCTGCCCTCCAGCACACCTGCTCAGGATGTGAACGCAGCGAGGAGGAAAGCAGTTCCCACAGCACCTCCCCAGCAGTGGGGCTCCTCCTCTGCACCCAAAGGGGATGCAGCCAGGTCACTCCCCACTTCTGTCTGGGGGCAGAGCCCCTAGACCACCTCCTGACACACACCCTCCAGTTTTTCACTTAAAGACACACCCAGTTCCTAAGCTCACCTGTGGATCTCTAACACTCCCCAGTGTGGGCCACTGCACACATCACAGGTTATTCACGAGCCAGGATCTCTTCTCCTCCCCCTGCACCTGAGCTCAGCATGCCAGCACACAGAGTCGGACACTCCTGCTCACACAGCTCCTTCACACGGGGCACACTGCTGGCCACCAGGCTGACCCTGCCTCTACCCTCCCAGAAGCGGGATTAAGCAGCTACCTCTTGCAATAAGAGGGAGCTGGGTCAGCCCAAACAGAAAGCAGACAGAAGACACTCTGCATTCCTGAAATCATCTCCATTTGCTCCCTTTACAACGGAGCAGCAGGCAGACAAGGGAAAGGCAGTCCGTTGGCCCTCAGGAACGTAGAGGTTCGTGGCACTAACAGAGGGAGGACGAACATTTGCACCAGTTTTGGGAAATCAATTGCCTTTAAGGGTTGTGCTCAACTACCTCTTTCCAGTTCACAAACGCACTGCCACAAAGGCAGGCACTGTGTTTTCAAGCTCCAGCCTCTAAGCGCCTGGCACACAGCTCACACTCAACGTACGCTGCTGGACAAGTGACTGAGCCCTCCTCTTCCAGAGGGAAGCGGGTTTAGCACTCTGGTCTCCTGGCAGCAGCCTGGCACTCCTTACGCCAGCTGCCACAACTCCCCCCTGCAGAGTGGACTACAGGATAGGGAATCCACCATAGGCAGCCTGCCCCACTCCAACAATAACCAGTGCAGTCAGCCCTAAGCGTATCAGGGCAGGCGAATGAACCTTGGCCTCTCTTCTGACCTGGGCCACCCACCAAGATGCTAGAAAAACAGTGGGATGACAGAACAGAAGCTCCACGGAGAGGAAGGCAGCTGGGAGAGAGCTGGGCTGCAGGGGAGAGCACCAGCAGCCACTCTTCATGGTCCCAGCGAGCGGTGGGCACAGCTCACCCGGGTCGATTGTCAGCAATGGGGAGGGGACCTGCGGGGACATAGGTGGCCAGCAGACACCAGTGACAGGATGCTGTTGAAAAAGCCATCTTTCACATTGTCTACTCAGCCAATTACTAGAAACGTACATAGAACCCCACCTGGTACTGAGGGTGGGGTGGAGGGAGATGTGGCTGTCCAAGATGCTTCCTGGCTCTGGGCTACCATTGCTACCACCACAGCTTCTGCCTCTCCCCTCCCAGCCCCTGTGAAATCCTCACATTGAAAGCTGGCTTCATGAGACACCTGTGGGTGCCAACAGCTCCCATTCTCATTCTGTACTGCACCCAGCAGACAGGGGCCGCCTCTCCCTTGAATATCTTCACTGCCAACTCCTTGGAGAACGGCTCAAGCACAACCACCCCAGGTGACCAGGAACATAAGCTGAGCTTTCTGCTCTAAAACAGACTTAGTCTGATATCCCCTTTGAAGCTCCCCGTGCACCTGCACAAGCAGTACTGGACTGCAAGCAACCACACGGAAGGCCTAGAGCTGTGCCCTTAACCTAAAATAAGGAGACGAGTGCAGGATGTGTCTGAGCATTGCCTAGAATGCGGGGGTTCCCACTGTCCCAACCACTCGACAGGGATTCCTGGGAATCAGCACAGGTGCTGGGAAACCAGGATCAGGTCCGTGGGGGAGGGGCCAACACACACACCCAGGATACTGATTGCAGAGACCCCAGTTGTGACATTTGGTGAAGGCAAAGCACAAACCAATGTCACCTGCCACTCTCACATCCAGCGCATGGAGATGGGAGCTACTCTGCACATCACAGGAAAATGATTGCTCACGCAAGAAAACTACTCGTGTGGGAGGCACACAGGTCTGAAGAACAAGTAGACTGTTTCTGAGGGTGAGTGGCCAGGGAGTCAACCAGATGGCCAGTTTATGCGGCAAGTGTGATGGATTCAAAGAAGAAATCAAGGCAGCAAAACAATAAAATCCCAGCAGGCTGTGGAGGAAAATGCTGGTGCTCTAAGGAGACTACACACACGTGACCAAAACAGTATCAGGAGTCACAAATATTCTGTTTAAAATATCTGTTCATTTGGGGCTCTTTGGGGGAGCAAATATGGGAAGTGACCATCAGTGTTACCTCCAGCCCAATTTGGTGGATGTGAGTTCTGAGACAGATGAATTCATCTCTTAGACCAACAAATACACTTCAATGACCTCCTGAATTTAGGCTCATGTGGAATATTTGTAAACCCTGACCACTTTTATTAGCTCTACTGCACTTCTTTTGCCTCTACTCCCCAACCTACTCCCTGGCCTAGCAAAGGGCAAGCGGCAGGTCAGGTGTCCACACTTGACCCCGGACGAGCCCAGAAGGCACAACGCACAACACCACTCTCCACTTGTTCTCCATCCACCACCTGGTTGCTTCCAGCTGACCAGAGAACTGCAATCCAGAACACGGGCATTAAAAGCTGACTTGTACTTGAACCTCATCTGCACCACTCATTACCTGTCTTTGAACAGGTAGGCAATTTACCTGACCCTCAGATTCTCTCAGCACTTTAGGACCTTGATTCCTGAGGTCCACAGTCTAAGGGTTACCTTGCTTTAGGCCTATGCCTCTAACTTCACCCTGACACTCCTGCCAGATTAAATCTATAAAGCACAGCTCTCATCCTGTTTTCCCCAGTTAAGTAAGTACCACTGTTTATCATGTCTAAACTCCTTAGTTGAACATCAACCTTTATAATACACTCTCCACACACCAAAACCATTAATAAGTATAAAAAATGATACTGTGAAGTGGACATGGACTGTTAGTCTAAGGATCTGCCCTCAGCCCTGGTTCCACCATCCACACATTCTTTATAAGCAACTTCACCACACTGAATACAGAATACTTTCCATATCTTGAGGGCACTTCAAAACTTTCACGGAAAATGGAACTCAAAGACGAGCTTAGTTTGTGTAAAAACTTTGAAATCCATGCACAGCCTTTTCATGATGTACATTTTCCATGAATTTTAGAATATATTCAATTTTATTTACATGAAAGGCAGAGAGTGAGAGCAAAATCTAAGGCAAGAATTCTTCCATGTGCTGGTTCACTCCCCAGGGCTGGGCCAGAAGCCAGGAGCCTGGAAATCCATTTAGCTCTCTCATATGGGTAACCTGAGCCATCACCTGCTGCCCGCCTCCCATTTGCATTAGCAGGAAGATGGATGGGAAGTGGATGTGGGACTCAATCTTAGCCGCTCTGCAATATGGGAACGCAGGCATCTCAAGGAGCAGCTTAACCCACTGCACCACAACGCCTGCCTTCCATGAAGTTTTCTTGTTTTTGTTTTGTTTTGTTGACAGGCAGAGTGGACAGTGAGAGAGACAGAGAGAAAGGTCTTCCTTTTTCCATTGGTTCACCCCCAACTGGCCACGGCAGCTGGGCACCTCACTGATCCGAAGCCAGGAGCCAGGTGCTTCCTCCTGGTCTCCCATGCGGGTGCAGGGCCCAAGCACTTGAGCCATCCTCCACTGCACTCCTGGGCCACAGCAGAGAGCTGGACAGGAAGAGGGGCAACCGGGACAGAATCCGGCGCCCCGACCGAGACTAGAACCTGGTGTGCCGGCGCTGCAGACAGAGGATTAGCCTAGTGAGCCACGGTGCAGGCCCTTCCATGAAGTTTTACAAGTCCCCTGAATGCACGGACTTCAAAGTGTCCTTGCACTAAAATAAGAATCTTTAAAAAAGAAATGGAGTTCAAAGATAAGTTTATTTCTTTTGAAAGTCAGAGTTACATTAGATAGAGAAGGAGAGGCGGGTGGGGAGAGGGAGGGAGGTCAGTCTTCCATCCGCTGGTTCACTCCGCAGATGGTCACAATGGACAGAACTGTGCCAATCTGAAGCCAGGAGCTTCCTCCAGGTCTCCCGCGTGGGTGCAGGGACCCAAGGACTTGGGCCTTCTACTGCCTTCCCAGGTCATAGTAGAGAGCTGGATAGGAAGTGCAGCAGCCAGGACTTGAACTGGCATCCACATGGGATGCCGGCACTGCAGGTGGCAGCTTTACCCACTACACCACAGCGCTGGCCCCTGAACTTAAATAAATTTATTTATTGACATAAACATCCCTGTTTATTTAAAGGTCAGAGTTGAAGGAGATACAAAGAGATATTCCATCTGTTGGTTCTCCAGATGGTCACAAAGGCTGGGCCAGGCTGAAGCCAAGAGTTTCTTCCAGGTCTCCCATGTGGGTGGCAAAGGCCCCAACACTTGGGCCACCTTCAGGTCCTTTTCCAAGGCCATTAGCAGGGAGCTGGATCAAAGCGGAACAGCTGGGACTTGAACCAGCACCCACACGTCACAGCGCCAGCCCCTGAAATCCATTTTCTATGAACTTTCTGAAGTGCCCTTGTATTTGTTGAAGTCTATGAGGTGAAATGCACTCTTCTTATGACGGTTTTACACTCAGCCACACTGGCCTGCACATCACCCTTGCCCACTTCTCTGCTGTTGGTGGCGCTCCCTCCGCAAGGTCAGCTCCCCCACCACACCCTTTACCGAGTCCTCCCCACATCCCGGGCCAGGGCCGTCCAGCCCGACTCCCGGCCGGAGCCTCCCAGCAGCAATTACTCCTCCATCTTCCACCGTCTGACCTGGTGAACGTCAGTTAGGTGGACACTACTTGTTCTGACTTCAGGTTGCTTCCTTTTTCCTGGCCCTTCTC